TCGAGCAAGTTTTATCGGAATTACAGAGTATTTCTTCACTGAAAGAAGAGCAAAACACTGCTCTGGAGGCTTTTCTCAGAGGAAAAGATGTTTTTGCTCTTGTCCTGACTGGTTTCGGCAAGAGTAGCCTGGCATGTGGTTGTGTTGTCGTCGTTGCTCGTTTGTACGTCATATGCTTCGTTGATCTGATTGGTTTATTTGGCCCGTCTATTACCAACATAGGCCAATCAGCTAACCAGTATTTTCGCCCCTTCCCAAAATTACTGCAACGGAAGGTTTCCAGATGGATATGCGGAGCAAATCCATCTGGCGGAGTCAGGTTAGAAAGCCCTTAGTCCATACCTCTACTTTCCATGTTAAGCAAAAGCTGTAAATTATTATGTTTAGCATACCTGGTTATAGTAACTAGCGAAACCAAAATCAAAGTTGGATTTGAATAAGTATGTTTCAGCCATAATCAGGTTTTTTTTTTTTTTTTTTTTTATTCCACTATTGTTAAATAAATTTAGATTTGCATAAGAATCCTGCCTGACCCATAAATTGTTGGGATCCTCAGGCTTGCCCACCAGAGGGTGCCGAGGATCCTCTTCTGCTCTTTGTTGTTTTCTTTCAGGACTGGAGTTACTGTTGGGATCTGGAGATTATCTTCTGTCTCCAGCAGAGTGCGCTGTGGGTCTCCTAGGGCTGGAGTCTTCCAGCACACCTGTTATGCATCTACTCATCAGGATATCTCCCCTTTATAAGCTCCTGCCAGACCTTGCTTCCACGCCGCAGTGTTGATCTTAGTTTGGTTAGCAACCTGAGCCTCTATTACTGGAAGAATCTTAGTTGTCTCTAGTGTTAGATCAGATTCTAATCTCTCCTTTGTCTGTGCCTCACAGGAAACCTGTCGCTAGTCTGAAGCTCTGGGTGAGCTGCCTCACTGGAAACCTGTCTCTGGCCTGAAGCTCTGGGAGAGCTGCCTCACTGGTAACCTGTCTCTGGACTGAAGCTCTGGGAGAGCAGCCTCACTGGTAACCTGTCTCTGGCCTGAAGCTCTGGGAGAGCTGCCTCACTGGAAACCTGTCTCTGGCCTGAAGCTCTGGGAGAGCTGCCTCACTGGTAACCTGTCTCTGGCCTGAAGCTCTGGGAGAGCAGCCTCACTGGAAACCTGTCTCTGGACTGAAGCTCTGGGAGAGCTGCCTCACTGGTAACCTGTCTCTGGCCTGAAGCTCTGGGAGAGCTGCCTCACTGGAAACCTGTCTCTGGCCTGAAGCTCTGGGAGAGCAGCCTCACTGGAAACCTGTCTCTGGCCTGAAGCTCTGGGAGAGCTGCCTCACTGGAAACCTGTCTCTGGCCTGAAGCTCTGGGAGAGCCGCCTCACTGGTAACCTGTCTCTGGTCTGAAGCTCTGGGAGAGCTGCCTCACTGGTAACCTGTCTCTGGACTGAAGCTCTGGGAGAGCAGCCTCACTGGAAACCTGTCTCTGGACTGAAGCTCTGGGAGAGCTGCCTCACTGGTAACCTGTCTCTGGTCTGAAGCTCTGGGAGAGCTGCCTCACTGGAAACCTGTCTCTAGCCTAAAGCTCTGGGGGAGCTTAACCTGCTAATCAGCTCCGGTGAGCCAACCTGAAGATTCCTATGTGGAATTAACCTGAAGACTCCTATGTGGAGTTAACCTGAAGATTTCCTATGTGGATATCCCCTGCTGTTCTCAGTGAAGAGCTGGAAGCTCAGATCAAGGTCAGCAATGCTAAGTCTGAAGCTAGATGCTTTAGCTCCTCATGAACTCTGCTAACCAACTGTCTCTGGTCCCAGTCAAGACTTCTGTGAACCAGCCCAAACCAGTTCCAGATCAGTCCATATTCGTGTGTTTTTGTGAAACCTTAATAAACTCTGTTGAACTTTTATCCAGCCTCCGTGTGTGTTCTGCATTTTGGGCTAGCTCAGATACCCATCATGACATAAATTACGTTTTTATCTGAGAAAATACAGTCGCCAAAAAATTGTGCTAATGTCCTGCCAACATTACAACAGTAAATAAAGCCTAAATAATCTGACCAAAAATAAAATTCTTCTACTTGCTGAAATTTGCCTTTGTAATCGTCGCAGATTACAAATATTATTATTTTTTTCAAACTAAGAAATAAACAGATTTTAACACATACCCCTAAGTGATGTGTTAGTCGAATGGCAAATGCTGCTGGATACATCGTCCTAAAGTTTGACAATCAGCCCGAAAATTCAAGGACATAGCATCTTTTTTTTTTTTTTTTTAAATAGATCAGTGTGCTAATTTTACTCAGCGGGAAAAATAATACGGGCCCGAAACACACCCAAAACATTTTTCACCTTGATTGCTTCAAAGGTTGACTCTTTTCTGTCAGTATGCTGAGAAAGGAATTGCATTTTAGAAAGACAATGAATGCAGAGCAATTATTTGCTGAAAGAATGCATCTCCACAGGATTCGCAGAAAAAAATGAGACACAAGTTGGTTTTTGTATAAAACTTTTTATCTAAGCTTCTCAATTTTGCACACATTACACGTTTTGACAATTTTGCCTTAGTTTCAAGGGGAAAATAAAGAAAAGTCCGGTCAGCAAGAATAACCACTGGGTCATTACAGTATTTATACCTATAATTAATACAATCGTGGTGATTTAACAAATTTAGCATTAATCAGTAAAAAAATAAAGACAATAGTTTTCATTGCGATCACCAAGTCCGGGAGCGTCCATTTTTGCCCAAATATAGTAACACCTCACTCCTGACATCTTCCGGCAGTGGCAGTATGCCTAGCGCCATTCTCCCCGCTTTACAAGCAAAATCAATGGGAACTACTAGACACATCTTCAACAATTGTTTAGGATTTCCAGAGGACTTCACCATTGAAATTCACCAGATCTATAGTTAAACTGACAATGCCCACATGCATGGCAGTTGGATGTTGTAATACATTGGGTAAAAGTGGAAAAGAAATTAGTTATTTCACCTTTCCAATCCACAGGTTCGTCAGTGGATTGCCAACTTGAAGAGCGAGGATTTGCCATTGAACTTCTGGCCAGAGAAAATGCATGTCATTAATCTGTTACTCTCTGCTGTGCATAGTGCACTGGTCGTCGCCATCGTGGATAATAGTGCGTTGTGACACACACCAGATACAGCACTGGGACTTGCTCAACAGCCAATACAGCACCGTGATGTCACAAACCGGTAGGTGGCAGTAGTTCTCTTTGACAAACATGGATGCCTCCAGTAAAGCACATTCAAATTAAATTAATCTTGATTAAAAACACTAATCATTTATTTAAATTCATGTAAAAATGTCATACTTAAAGTACTTTCAGAAGTTTGCATTCTGAATGTGACCGAACTTTTCCTTTAAAGGTATAGAAAAAATATCACCGTTTCAGTTTTTAGTCATATCCACTCAATATTCTAATTTGCCACTTTCACCCACCTGAAATTACCATCATATAGCTCAACGGTTTTCAATATTTATGATATACACGCCAAAAACAAACACTTGGTATGTAACACTAACTTTTTCTGTCTTTTTTAAAATCCTTACTAGCTCATTGCTTATAGTACAGCATTAGAGGAATAATTTTATGTTTAAGAACATCCTGTTTCTGTCATTTAATATGATCCCTCCTCATTGCACACAATAAAATAAGCAAATAGAAATGGGTTACTGTTCTTTACATCACAATGTACAGACCATTTACCATGTATCTGGATGCAAAACTTTCACAAGAAAATCTTTTCTTCAAATTTTTTTACTTAGTGGTGCATACTATGTAGATCGGTCTCAATTTTCACAAATACAAATATGTGATTAATACATGCACAGGACAAGATCCACATATGCACAGAACGATTCACACAAGCACAAAAAAATGTACACACACAAAAGGACAAGATTCACAGACGCACAGAAGATTCATGCAAGCACAAAAGATCCACACATGCACGGAACAAGATTCACGTATTTCTGGTCCATAAACAATAATACGTTTTTAAACCTTACTGCATTTGTGTGTAGATTTTTGAGACTCCCTTACAGTGAAGTTTAAAGACCACTGGAACTTTGTTATTTAATTAATAAATCTTTATGGACCAGAAATACTTTGGTGAATCTTTGGCTGTGTGGATCTTGTGTGCTTGTGTCAATCGTCCTGTGCGTCTGTGGATATTGTCCTTTTTGTGGGTGGACTTTTTTGTGCTTGTCTAAAATATTCTGTGCATGTGTGCATCTTGTCTTGAGCATGTATGAATCACATATGCGTATTTATGAAAATTGAGACCAATCTACCTCCATACTTACTGCCATATGAAAACAAAATCTGTGCAATTATAGCACTTGAGAGTTACATTCACTTTTAAAGATACACTAAATACATCATCTTTAAGGAGTGTTTTTTAGTGGTAAGAGTGAACTTTCATCTGAATATCACTGATTGGGCACAAAATCATGCATGCAATATATAGTACTACATATATGAATGTAGTACCACATGTACTGCATAAACAGCAAATCACAGATAAGCAGCGACATTATACTTTAGATTCACTAGTTTTTCTCAGTTTGTATCAAGTCAAAAATGTTTAAAAAATTAATAAAGGTTTTCATTAGTCCAAAAACATAAACAAGGTTTGAAAAGTTCACTTAATGCCAAACCTAACTGATGCAAAATGTATATTACATTTATATACTTTTTTTTTTTTTTTGGCATCGATTATTTCAAAGCTTTGTTACTTTTTTACAATCACAAAGTCTTTTGGAAAATGAAAGCACCCGTCTTCAGTGAGGCTCCCATATAGTGACAATATTTAACTCTTGACATAAATTGCAAAGCGTAAGTCCTCTTGTTCTCATAAATCCTGAGAACGAAATATACAGTTGTTCTTGCTGCAATATATATTCATAAAGCCACTGAGTACCATAGGGATGGGTGATCAGTGGCAACTTCACACAATAAATCCTTACAGTGACAGCAGCAGCAGCAGCAGCAGCAGCAGCAGCAGCAGCAGATTAAATGATGGACGGGGTGTCCTCCACAAGGTATGTATTTAGAGAAAATGCTGGCCAGTCACATTGAATTTTAATTGCTAAAAAATAATTCCTGCACTCCAACAAATATACATATTACATCAAGCATGGAAATATTATAATGGTCTCCTTTTTCTCATTTTAGCAGTAAACATAATTATCTATATGGGTGTTTTTGCATATGTCTCTCACTTAGACCATATTGGTTCTGATCTTTAGAATAGTGAGAGTTTTAGTGATAAGAAAAAAAATGTGGTATGCTGTCTTTAGACGCTAGTTTCATCTCCGTCCTCCCGACATACGCTGAACTGCACCCAATCCCCCAAACTGATGTCTTCAGTTGCGCTGCACCTCCTGGTGCCACCTCTTTGAGGTGTAAAGGGTAACTGTCGAGCTTTTCGACTCTTAGAAGATCTGCCTTTGCCCATCCCGTTGCTGTAGGAGACAACTAGTCTGCGGTTCTCCTCAGGCGCAGCTGAACAGGGTGGGTGGCGGCTTGCCTGGTTGAGCTGCGGTGAGTCAGTGCTTGGGTTGCTGACACTGTTATCCTGCAGGTCTGGTAGGTTTGCAGTAACTATACTGCCACTCTTCACGTGCGGTGTCTGGCTGTGGGTGTGGCGGTATTCCTCATAAATATCCTTTCCCTGTTTCCACCTTTTCCACTTTTTCACCATCTCTGACTGCACCTGAGCGACAAATGGAGCAGGAAAGCAAATAGCAGCACAGATTATTAAAAACTACATAAAGCATGTCATTAGATGTAGGCTATTTGCCAAGACTCCATTCAAAAGCTTAGATTTGTATATGGCTATTGTTGTTGAGCCTCCACTTTCAAGATCAACATGAAATATGTTTTAGATGTCCTAAACTAAGTACAAAATATAGCAGTGACTTTCGCAAAAAAGGTTACCTGTATGTAGGTATAAAGGATAGTATCAATGGCAAATACCAAAGTAAAGTTTCTCTAATAAGAACGAAAAAGCATCTTACCTCTTTGTTGACAAAGCAATATAGGATGGCAACCAGCAGGCCCTAAAAATGAAAGTTGGACATTTTCCTTTAACAAATACAGTTCTATATGAAATTAAACAAATAAAAAGAAATCGCTAAGATGCACATTGCAAATCCTTTCCCAATCTGCTACACTGAACAAAAACCTACTCATAAGATTCACTTCAAAAATATATTCGATTTGCACACAAATGATTTAAGTAAAATTGAATGCTGCAATATCAAGTAACATTCACTTGCCAGTATCAAGTGAATTTTACTTTCCATAAGACATAACAGTTGAGAAGATACATCCAAGTTGTAAGTTAAATTTAAAGTGTACTTGTTTTTTATAAGCACAAATAGCATTTTGCTGAAAATTTTAAGGCAACACATAGAGAAACAGGACAATCATTCACACACTCACACCTAAGGAGAACTTAGAGAAGCCAAATAACCTTACAGTCATGTTTTTGGACTGTAGAAGGAAGCCGGAATACCCGGAGAGAACCCATGCATGCACAGGGAGAACATGTAAACTACATGCAGATAGACCCATTGCCGAGAATCAAACCCGTAACCTTTTTGATGCAAGGCAGCAGTCCTACCCACTGCCCCATGAAGCAGCCCTCTAACCGGCTAACTTCCAAATATGCAACCAAAATTTACAACACTCTGAAACTGACAGTTTCAACATTCGTTACAGAAATATACAGTATGTTAAATCAAGAATATTTCACTTACACAAACATGCTCAAAACAAGTTCTGGGAGAGGGTCAGTATGGAAACAGCCACTTAAACTTTGAGCAGGGGTGTAAAGATGATGTATGTTTTTATTTAAATAAAAAAAAAGCATGTACAAATATATAATTAATAGTAAAAATTAATTATATTGTTCTGCATTAGGATTTGTACCGAAAAGAAGATAAGGTTGGTATGACTTGTAAACAACAAATAAACAAAAAGTATTTCATATGCACCATATCCAACACAGATCTGGTAATATAGTCACTACTTAAAGGAGAAGTTCGGTTTTTAACACTTTTAGCCCATTTTCTGTAGTGTCCAGGATGAAATCGAATGATCGACCCCAAAATTTTGACAATTGGTCCTGTCTCTGCTTTTTGGCTCATTTAGAATCACCCCTGGCTGCTTTAGAATGGCTTCCATAGAGCATGTCCGATAATGTCCTTAAAACAACCTTAAACGTTCTTTTTTTTAAATATGCTACTCACCGGGTCGTCAGCGCTGTTCAATGACGTTCCAAAAAAAGTTTCGTGAAGAAAAAACGTTCCTGTAGTGTTTTATTTAGCATTTTGTAAATCCCATTGAGTTCTGTAGGAATAGTCAATATTCCCCTGCCACCGGAAACGGAAATGGGGCCTGTTTACACAGTTGTAGTCTTTTCGCTTCACTCTGTGTACTCCGACGTCGAGGTGCTAACGTCTCTGTTAAACACTTTAAAAAACTCTGAAAATGGAATACGAAAGGTGGATTCTTGATTCTCGATGTCGGAGTACACAGAGTGAAGCGAAAAGACTACAACTGTGTAAACAGGCCCCATTTCCGTTTCCAGTGGCAGGGGAATATTGACTATTCCAACAGAACTCAATGGGATTTACAAAATGCTAAATAAAACACTACAGGAACGTTTTTTCTTTACAAAACTTTTTTTGGAACGTCATTGAACAGCGCTGACGACCCGGTGAGTAGCATATTTAAAAAAAAGAACGTTTAAGGTTGTTTTAAGGACATTATCGGACATGCTCTATGGAAGCCATTCTAAAGCAGCCAGGGGTGGATTCTAAATGAGCCAAAAAGCAGAGACAGGACCAATTGTCAAAATTTTGGTGTCGATCATTCGATTTCATCCTGGACACTACAGAAAATGGGCTAAAAGTGTTAAAAACCGAACTTCTCCTTTAAATATGCGATAAAAAAACCCTACACACTGAAACAGTGAAATTTCAACATTTAAACTAGTCATCCAGACTAGTAAACTTTTAAGATTTCAATTAATTAACATTAATGAAACAAAATCTAGATTCTGTGTGTAATCCTGTAACATCTGGACTCGGAACAGAATCAGTCCTGCTGTGAGCTACAGCACGCTAAAAATATGCAACATTTTTAGAGTAAAGTTTGTGTAAATGTACTCTTTTCTAAAAAAATAAATGCATTACAAATAGGTTTAATTTTACTTCAGAAACTCTAGTTTTTACTGAATCTTAAAATACAGAGTAGAAATTATGACAAATACCCTAATACAGTTTACTGCACAAAAAGGCACTTTTTTCAGTGTACTGTGACCACTGCAACCATCTGTCTTATTCCACACGATAACTCACTCCTAACTTCATTCAACCAAACCTTAATGAGGAGCCATTTTGTTTAGGTAAGTTAATCAAGAATTAATCAGCTATAGAACATCAGTTTAGGAACATTAGACCCCAACTATTACAGTCATAACTACAGACTGGCAAGGGGTGTTTGCCTGTGAAACAAAGTCACTTGAAAATTTTATATAACCCACTATGGATATTACATAGTTAATTGTTAAAATCCTCTTATACACTAAAAGACATAGTGACAATTGTAAACGTGAGTTTAAAATGTAAAGGCTTAGTGTGATAAAAAAAAGAAAACTGTAGCAAAGTAAAAGGCTTATTCCAACTTTAAATACTGTTTGTCATAAAACGTAAACAAAGTACGATCCTTTAAGATAAATCGTTTTTGTGGTCATTTTTATTAACTTAATGGGCAACTGCAATGCCTGTTTAGTGGATTACTGGTTGGTACAGATACAAAGCTGAAACCTGTTGTATTATTTTAGCCTAGCCTGCTTTAGAGAAAAAAATAACAAGGACGGATAATGTACATGGAAATGACAATGTTAAAATATTGCATTTGTTAAAAAAAAATGTTGTATGTGGGACCAATTTTCAGACCTGGAAGGAGTTAAACAGAAGGTCACAGAAGAGGCGAATAAGGCGAAGCATGGAGCCTTTTGGGACAGACTCATCAATGACGAAGGTGAAGAGGATAGCGTGAATGCCAAGCAGTGGGATGAGAGTCAGTGTGGATTTTGCCAGCCTGCCAAAGAAGAAGAAAAAGATGAAGACCTTTAAGTATGACACATACCAAAACAATCAGCCCTTGCTTAAACTTAACTGTCTAAATAGATTTTCTCAGCAGATTTTTTTTGTCTAAAATGAAAATTGTAGGCCAAGTTGCTTTTTAAAAAATAAATTAAACAAGCTTTACAAACAAGATATGAAACACGCAACTTTAACTGTAATGACCCAACAGTGGGGTTCCTTAAAAGTATCTTCTTTAAAAACAAAGTTTTGCAAAACCTTTTTACCTAATGCATTTTTTTTTTTTTTTTGGTTTCAACCTGGGGTCTGAGACCAGGATAAATTAATGTAACATAATTCAACCACTCTTTAATCAGGGGAGTTATGTTTGCTTTCATTAAAATCCCTAAAGAGATTAAGAATCTCTGTCTCTGTGGGGATTCAGCAAGCAGAGAGCTGCTCTTACTGTAATTCAATGAAATATTTCTACTAAGGTAGCCAAAGTAATAGTCAGCCATTTTGACAGGAATATTACTTTGGAAACAAAAATTCAAAACCTATGTTACAAATTAAAAATAAATATAAACTAAGAGGATAAGCTAAAAGAGGACTAAAAAGCTTCACTATGACAATTGAGTCGAGCATCCTGCTACCACAAAAATCCACCTTAAGTTCAGAGTCTGTCCAAAACAATCATGACTCTCTACCAGAGCTGCTTTTTGTCCGTAAGACCTGAGGTGGTAACACATTCTTAAAGCAACATTCTGTTACTTTTAATCAAGAACCTGGAAGTTACAGTACATCTCTAGGACTCCTGAAAAGAAGTGGTAACCCTGCACTGTAGCAAAAGTAAACAATCTCCATTTGTGTAGATAGAAAAGTCCACCTTTTGAGAAAGTTTGAACCACACAGCATCAGTAACTGCTGTATTTTGACTAGGAAAATCATTTAACACATCTCAAATTAACTTAACAATTGGGTCCAAAGTAATGCTTTGGGAATTACTGTGTCTACATACTGTCTTCTTCTTCCTTATTTGTTCAACAATTGTAAAATTTTCTTCCTTTGTACCATTATTGATTAATTTGTTTTTTTTACAAGAAGGTAATTATCTTACCTGAATTTGTAGTCAGTGTATCGCATTTGGTGTGCTCTAAGTTTAGACATCAGGATTTTAATTATTCGGATGAAGATAAAGAAGTTAATCTGAAAAATTATGAAAGGCAAAAAAATATTTAGAAAATAACATATTCAAACTAAGATGAGACAGTCATTAACAAAGCAAAAGGGGTCAATTAGCAGACAGTAAAATTAATGTAAAGCTTAGATTTTTAAGAAGGCAAACTTTTTTTTATATCTCTGCCATGAAAGTTGTTAATGTGAGACCTACATATGGTGATCAAGAGAAGGAACTTTTCTGAAAACAGCTGAAAAGACTCAGAGAAAAACTACGATTAGAAAATTTTTATTGACATGAAAGAAAGAAATTATTTGGCGCTCGGGCCCCGGCAGACAACTCTGATGCTGTGAATCCACATCCGTTTGGATGACTGACCTTGGAAAAAGATTACAATTGTCTTCCCACCGGGGCTCGGACACTGGTGGTGGAATAAGCCTAAGGGTGACAGAGGTGGGTGAAAGTTCACTGGTGTAAAGGAGGGAAGCTAGGCTAGTAGGTAAATGAAGGGGATCTTCAAAAATGATTAGCTTCGGAGGAGGTGTGGTCCCGATGTTGATTGAAGCTTGATCGATCAAGCAGGTCTCCAGGTGAGGCTGAGAAGAGTCTTCCAGATTGAATTGTTGCTTAAACTTGATTAAGAAAACTCATGTTTATAGGAGCCCCAAATTTAGTAACAGATATGTCGTAGGTCAATGCTTGGGTACTTACAGGTAAAGCATCCAAATATATGAATGTGTGTATTTCAGCAGTGGAGCAGCACTAGGGATGTTTTAAGAAGACATGGGAAGAAATTGACTATTTTACTCCGAGGCTGGTCCTACTGGGTTCATGTTATGTTAAATCTGTATTGGTTCTTATCATTTACGATTAAGTTAAATAAAAATGCAGATCACAAACTGTTTTTAGAGGAGTTAGCATTATGTAAACTAAATCTTTACAAAAGCAGGTTTAAACTGTATTATCATAACATAAACATTTAAAAGTTTTGAATAATGTGAACTATCATATTAATATTTGTTGGGAATTATTTTTGAAAAGTAGGTATTTGTAAAACATTGTTAAAAGTTTGATGTAAATGCTTTACATAAAGTTTCACATTACGTCATACAGTCTTATATCCATACAGTAGCATATGGATTGTGTGATCATGTTTACACAGTAGTCCCTTCAATTGCTTAATTGCTGTTAAGAGTTTATGAATCTTAAAGGGAAGATTTAATCTCAGAAAACTAACAGGTGTCTGACATATATTTTTTTCCATAGACGGCCTTTCCACTATTTTTCCTGCATATACTGTCAGTAATGTCATGATTCAGTTTCTGCATCATAAATGGAGGGATGAGTCATTGTGTCAAATAGACATGGGTTTTGTTGTTGTAAACAGTAAACAGATTGTTTGGTAATCAAAATATACCCTTTTTAAAATGCCAACTAGACGATCCTCTAGGCAGCATATAACTTTGCTAAAACTAGTTGACATTTACCCAGTTAAATAAAATAAATAAGAATAGCCATGTAAAATAAAGTTTTGATGGTCTAGTTATTTTCCTCCAAACCAGCAGGTGAAAATGAACCTAATTTGTAATTAATGTTTGCAACATTTAAAAAAATTTATAAAAATACAATGTGAATAACATGTAGCCATTACTTGTCCTGTTTCTGGGTAATAAAATGTAAGGTAATATAAGGACCACATGTTCTTGGAGCCGTCATATATTTTGGCTGAAGGAGAGGCTGGTAAGGATTCTCCTCACCAGTTTCTCCATCTAACTCTAACTTCAGGACTAATACCTAAACCCAATATCCCTCGTTCCCAAACCTAATATTGAAGTTGACATGAAATATTCTCTTGAAACATCACTCCTGCGGTCATCTTTTCATTGTAACTGGCTACATGATAAAAGAGTAAAAAAGCGATTAAGACCAGACATTTCATCATCCTAGCTTCTACTCGCCAGCTTCTGCTCTACCGACATTGAGCTCTTGACTGTTAACTGCAGACCTTTCCATCTGCTTTGGGAGTTTACTTTTGTTAGCATCAATGCTGTGTATGTGCCTCCCAGCGCTAATACAACAGAGGTCATAAATGTTTTTTACCAGGCTATCTCTGAGCTTCAATCTGCACACACAGATGGCGTTTTCATTCTTGCTGGGGATTTTAACCAGGCAAATTTGAAGACCGTTCTCCCTCATTTTAACAAACATGTGGACTTTGCAACTAGGGGACAGAAGAATCTAGACTTGGTTTACTCTAACATGAAAGATGCATTCAGAGCAGCCCCCAACTTGGCTTCTCATGACCTTTCACAGAAGCATCCTTAAAGAGCGTTGTGACCAGCTGTCTCAGTGTGTGGTGTGGATGCTGCAGCGCCTCAGACTGGAAGAACATCAGGAGAGTGGTGAGGACAGCAGAGCGGACAATCAGGGATTCTCTTCCCTCCATTTAGGACATTTCATCCCAGCGCTGCATGTCCTTAGCCTGTAAGATCATCAGTGACCGTTCACACCCCCAACATGGACTCAGACTTAAACAACTTTTCTCCATGCTGCCCTCTGGGAAGAGGCTTCACAGCATTCGCTGCAGGACCAGAAGGTTCTAGAACAACTTTTTCCCAGCTGCCATAAGACTGTTAACTAAACTGGACTCTGCATCACACTTGCATCATTATTCTGCACTACTGTACCCATGTGGCTAAATCTTTTATAATCCTTTTAAACAGAACAAAACTCAATGCTCCACTGCATTTTTCACCAGATTCATTTTGCTCACACTAAACCTTTCCACTTTTGCAGCATTAAATTGGTTTCCTTTCTCCTACAGTTTTCGTTCAGATCACTGCTGCACTTTATAAATGGTAATGTTCATTAAGCAGGAAGCAAAGCAGTTTTGTTTTGTATACAGTGTGTATACAAAATGACAATAAAGTTTTTCTAAGTCAAAGTCCAAAATAGGACAAGTTATGATAATATATAGGGAGTATTTTAAAGATAAGCACATGGGGCACGGCTTAAGTTCACCAGTCGACCACCATGAGATGAGTGCGATGACATGTGACGTCTCTTTAGGCTGCAGCCATACAGTACGCGCTTGGAAATTTTTGACTGCTGTTACTCGCTTCACATTTTATCATTAAGGCCAGCTTCACTGCATCATCAAATAGGAGGATATTGTATCTGCTGTTTGCCTGTTTCAACATGGAGGACCTTGATTTTACTGAGTGAGTCACAGTCCTTCATTTATTATTGAAGCCAAATAACTACCCCGGCATCCTGGAGTCCATCAGATCCTCCAGGGAAGCTCACTCTTCAGGGAGCTCAGGAACAAAGCTGGATCAGGGTCACCTCCCATGGTGCTTCTGTCTGACCAGTAATCAAAACTGTTATTCTGCTTTGGGGGAGTGTCAACTAAAACACAGAGGGGGTGCAGTGGAACTTAGATAGGAGTCCTTCTAAAGGCTTAATAAAAAAGGCTATTTTTAAATTGAACAATAACCTCCAAAGAGCATTCCTAACTTCATCCTACTGATTTGATTAAAATAGCGTAGTTTTCCCTGAACTCACCCTACATCCAGATTACATTCAGTCCCTGACTGGTTGATGTGAGCCAAATCAACAGATAATGTTAGATTTTGAAATTTGGTTTGTATTAATTACAAATCACATCGTTTGCATTGCTAGAAATGCCTCCTTTATATCGTTTCATTCCTGGGGGTGCCTCTACATAAGAAAAGCATATAAATCCCTTGTTCTGGTTGCGTCATTCACATTTGGTGTGAACTGCTTTAAGAACTTGGAAAATAAAGTGACAGTTTTTAAATTAAAATCTAAATTACCGAATAGCATTGAAACAAATGTGCCAACAAAGCAGCTATGTTGAAACACTTACATTATTCAAATTTGAATATGACAGGAAAGACTTCTAACTCTAGGTAGTGTAGTGCATTTTACATAACCTCCATCAGAGATTTTCAATATTGATTTTAGTAGATGTTCTTGTTTAAGCTGGTAAAGGGGAGTAGGTACAACAAACAGAGAGACAAAGTGAGAAAAAAACAACAACCTACCAGATAAGCAAACAATATGGGAGAACGGATAATCCACCAATATCCCATGTTAATATTCCTCTCCCAGCACCTAGGTATAAACACATGAACATATTACAGTGCAGTTTGTGGTGAATCTGCAAACATTTCATCCTCTACAGAATTAATAACCATCTGTCACTGAAAGCTTAACATCAAAATATCTTCACATCACGTGTACTTACTCCTCATTCTCATAGAGATATTTCACTGTGATCCATGGCAACACAAATATGAGAGGTGCACCTATAAAACAGCAAGGTCATCTTTTTTAGCTTTTTTTTTACAGAGACATTTACCATTTAAAAATATCAGCAATCCATTATATGGAAACTTTGTAAGATCCAATTTCAATGCAAAAAATATATTTTTTTATCTTACTTAAAAACTATAACTACACTCAAGCGTCTAAAGGAGTAAATAATGATGTTCCAATTAACCAGTTAAAATATGTTACCCAATTAACATTACAATCTTTAAAATAGTAGTTCCTAAAGCACAGAAATAAAGTCATAGAACTAAATAATATCTCTGTAACACTAATGGATGCTGAACTGAAGCCTGAAAATACATATTTCTACCCAAACACCTTTGAAAGTGCAGTTTTGATGTTGGAGTGTTGTCGTAGTGTATGTTGGGTGTAAATTCCTGAATATAAATGTGGAAATATTGTTTTATTATTAAAGAGGCTATAAAATCTAAACACTAAAGAACAAAATTATTACTTTGTTAACTTTTTCGACTTGTCATTTACATACAGCATTAGTGAAATAAACATCCTAGATTGCATCAAACTCTAGCTTTGGAAGTTTTTACCAGACTAAACATAAATTGATGTCAAACCTTTGACTGCAAATACATCTCTCAGCTGACCTTGTTTACTTTCTTCTATTCTGAGGTATGCCTAATCTTTTTTATTATTATTTATTTATCTGTCTTTGTATGAGAACTTTCTAAATATTAATGAAGATAGCTTTGCTCAAGACAGCTTCTTTCATGTTTTTGTAGTTATGGAGTAAAATATCTGGTTTAGGTTTATTTGCAAAAACAACAATAAAAAAAGAATCCAAAACAAATCCAGTGTTTATCAACTTTGTACTTGAAAATTTAAGATCTTCCCATTTTTAAGAAAAACAACCAATAACAGCTAAAATAAATAATAAAGGAGAGCTTGGGCAAACCTTTCGAATTCATCATTGCGCTCCAAGTCTTGGTTGTTCCTTCAGAGGGTGGGAGACTGAACTATTAATATCCTTATACATTATAATTAATCACTTACAATTAATCAAAAGCAAAGATACTTTAAGGATTTAATTGTAAGCTTTTATCTTTAATAAATAAATAATAGTTTATTGAGTGAAGAAAAAAACCTAATATTGTTGTGGATAGACCAATCCTTAATGAATCCTAAATGGCTTTCACCCATCTGTCCCAAAGCAGTTTTAAATTGAATGGAAAAAATAAGGGTGAATAATTTGTAATCTACATTCATTAAAGTTTTTAGCCTCAGATTATCAATATACTTTTATCCTTTCCTGGTTTAGGTAATTATGTAATTACTCCATGTTTCATAGATGGCATTAAATAATCTTTTTCAATACACTCTTTTACGGATTTTAATAAGTATTTTAAGTCTTTCCAGAAAAGCTTATAAAAATTGGAAGTCAAACCATCTTGATGAGGTGATTTGCCTTCTGACATTTGTTTTACAGCAAAATCTAATTATTCTATTTGTGTTTCAGAGTCACATAATGTTTTGAATTTGAAGTTAATTCTAGGAATTTTGGGTTAAATACTTTCCAAAAAGGATATTAAAGATGTGACTAGAGTAGACTGAGTTCATAGAGAGAGCTCTCTGATTTCTCTAAATCGGATCACAATGAGACACAAAAGTTGAGAAACTCTGAGAATGATATTAGAGCTTGTTGAGAACTTTTCTAAAGCTTGAAAGAAGTGTTAATGGAGAGCTCTTCCTTTGCTCTGTCAGAGCATGAACTGAAGCTGGGATGAGAGTTACTCAGTTCATAGAGAGAGCTCTCAGATTTCTCTGAATCAGATCACAAGGAGACACAAAAGTAGAGAAAGTCTCACAATATATTTGATCTTGCTGAGAACTTTTCTGAAAACTGAAAGGAGACTAAATTGAGCTTTAGTACGTTTAGGACAAATAAACCTTAGTCTCATTTTGGTGTCACATATCTCATAGCTGTCTAGGAGAAGTAAACGAAACCTTTTGGAGATTTAATTTCAGATTTTTCCTTCCCTCTTGGTTTACTTAAACTTAGAGTTAATTAGCACATAATCAGATCGCAGATCTAATCGGTTTTGGTGTCTCTACTGCAGCGTTTGATCAGAGAGACATTTCTTCTAGACAAGTGTCTGTTTCCCTTAACAATAAATTATTTCATTAACATTTTAATAATTTGGCATTTCCTGCCTTGTAGAGAATATATGATAAAATTAATCCCAATTATATGATAAAGGCTTCTGTCAATTAACTCATCTGACAGCACGTCAAAGAAGACCAGTTATATAATAATAATGTAGCTACCCAAAGAATTTGTTAATAACAAGACAAGAGTTCATTACACTTCTTCTTCTGTGGGATTATCCAGAGTTTAGGGTCAGGAAAAAAGTTAATTATAAATAAGCTACACACTATTAATGATTAGTGAGTTAAAAAAAAAAAAAGCTGGAGAACTAATTACAGTATGAACCGTTCTAATTACTGCTTTAGTACACATGACCTTATAAAATAATGAAAATACATTTCATTTAAGGTGTAAAAGCATTAAGTAAAATAATACTGTTTGAATATAAAAATATAACAGAGTCACAGTTAACCTAATGTAATGATTTATTTCTGTTTATGAAATTCAGCTGTGGGATACTCTGTCTAAAGAAAGTAATAACATTTTCTGTCAAAAATAATGAGTACTGACTCATTGGAGGGCTGTATCCTTACATCAGTTAACATAAGTAGGTTAACTGATGTTTAGTTGCCAATGTTTCAGTAAACTGACTGAGAAAGAAGGGGTAGATTGTATAAGGCTTAGTCTCTGCCTAAATTGACTGTTGTCATTTCTCTCCTTATTGCCTTTCCTTTTACCTCTCACTCTCTGAGTATTTACCCTAGACAGTTATTAAAGGCGAACGCTAGGGGTGTGCATTGGCACAGCCCTCACGATTCGATTCGATTACGATTCACCAGGTAACGATTCGATTCAATTCGATTCTACAATGCATTGCGATGCATCAAAATCCCATTGACTTCGTAAAATCCGAAATGTGCCCAGATATCCGCTTTCCAAGCTTTTGGTGCGTGTTTAATTAGGCCTACCCGTCTTGCACATTATCGGGCATCGGGCATCAAATGCTGCTGAACTTTTAACTTTTAGCCCTTTAAATTGTTCATCTCATTGTATTTTTCAATAACGCATTTTTTGCACAAATGCCATTTTGCACTGAACCACTGCAACTTGCACACTGTCTCTTATCCTCTGCACTGTTCACACTTTGACCACTGCTGCACTTTTTGTATTTTTCTATAACTCGTGCCATTGTGAAATATCAATGCAACGTTCATAAGCTGTATGTAACGCAATTTCGTTCTGTATGCACCCTGTGCATACAAAATGACAAATAAAGAAGTCTAAGTCTAAGTCTAAGTCTATCGCGGTCATCTCCCTCCGCCTCAGCCATCTTGATTGTTGTTGGTATGCCCTCGGAAGTAATTGACACTTCACAACTTGTCCATTTGAGGCCAAAATAAACAGTGACATAATCGATTATGGCACGTTGCCGCATCGATGCTGAATCGTGCATGCCCCGCATTGCAATGCATCGCTGAATCGATTATTGTTGACACCCCTAGCGAACGCCTTTTTTTTACATTGGGTCCTTGATTTTACTTTATTACATCATGTTCTACTCACCCATATAAATTTTGTGTCTTTTGGAGCCATTCTGAAGATATTCCGTTAGGTTATATCCAAGTAACGTCTTCCTATGGGCGATTATTATGCTATGGTTACAGCAAACCTAAAGGATCTCCCTGTGGCAGCTCACTAGTAAGCTAACCTGCAAAAGGGCTTCAGGCTAAGCGGTTGTGCAGGTGGGCTCAGAGGTGTCAGAAAAACTAACATCATTCAAGTGAAAATACAGATACATGTGTAAAACAAAAAAACTGGTAAAAGTAAACATACTGACTGAACCATTTCACGATATTTAAGTAAAAAACAGGTTCTAGGTTCCTGTTTCAAAGTGGTATAACAGTGAAATATGCCACCAGATGAAACTGGCTTACTAATAAAACCAGAATACTGTATATGTTATATGAATTTTCACGGGTAAAAGTGGTTGGAAAGAAGTGATCCTTTTTTTTTTTTGAAACACAACTAAACAAAGTGGTGACCCTTTTTCCGTCTTTAACACTAAAGGCTTTTTATGTGCAGCATTTAGTTTGTCTTAAAGTTTAGACGTTACATTGATATAACAGGTGGAGCTAAGCATCTGCTGTTTGCAACCAAAGAACGCTAGAACAAGGCTGATGCTGACCAAGTTTCATCTGCTATTAACTACTTATCATAATATTAGTAACAGGATGTAGAAACAACTATAGCAAAGATTTGGATCAAATGAATGCTTGCTGTGTTCTCTAGCTCATATGCACAAACTGTTAAAACTGCAACATACATATATGTTTATTTTCATAACTCCAAAAAAAATTAAACCCTATGAATAAAACCAGAATACAACATTCGATTTCTTTATAGGGTGTTTGATGACGCCGATATGCTACTTTTATGAGTTGCATGCTATTTACCGCTTCTTGATCTCACTGTCACTCTGTTTTTTTAGCAGCTGTTAGGACACTTCAGAGTGTGTCTGATTTTTCCGGTAAGGTGCACTGCTACATTTAGATGAAGGTAAAATGTGAACGTAAGCAGACTCTCGCCTAATGCAGCTATGTAGTAAACCTGACAAGAAGTTAACAGGTTAAACAACACAGACAATTTCCACATTCAGCTAAATGATACCTGATATGTTATTAGCTGCAGGCAGATTGGATGGAAGGGACCGATAAAGGAGAAGACTTAATACATTATGCGTTTTTTCTTTTTCTTTTTTTTTTTGCAAGTACTGAAAAACATCCATACCTGTATATTTGCTCTAGGAAATGTATTTCTCTCTTTTTTTGTCAATCTCTTATTTCAACATCATGTCCCCTTAATAGGCGGGTGGCACTATTCAGCTTTTCAAACAAAACATGATTTTGTTACATTTTAACTAAGCCAGATATTCCAGACTGAGCTCCAGTAAAAAAAAAAAAAAAAAAAAAAAAAGTTGTGATCTTAATAAATAATCCAAAGTGTAGCTTCTTTGAGATCAAGAAAAAAAAAAAAAGAAAAAAATGGAGCTGAGATTAGGATAAAACCAAGCCTGTGAAAGTGTGGTTGTTATGATTATCCCCTTGTGGACTTCTACTTGACTTTCCTTTAAAGTTTTCAGTTCCACTTGGATTTATGTTATTCTGTGTTTTCTTGTTTATTAATTTCCATTTTGTGTTATATTTATGCAGTTTTGTATCTTTTGAGTTATTGTCTGTGGCCCCCTTTGTGCCGGTGTCCTTTCCCCTAGCTCCCTTCAATCACTAATATCGCCCTTTTGACTTCATTAAACCTGCAATAAGTCATCTCTGCCTCCCTCATCTCTGCATTTGGGTCTTCAACCAACCTGCACCCCCACGTTTGACAGTGGTATCGAGATAAAGATTGGTCTGCAGTACTTTTACACTTATAAACTATACTTTTAATGCCAGAACATCAAATATTCAAATACTTGCTGGAGAACATTTGAAATGGGCAGCTCTTTCAAGAGTGTTTAAATTAAATTCTGATTTTCCAATGTGAAACAGCCAAAAGTCTATTGATGCATTCAAGTTAAGAAGTATAGTAAATTAAAAGCAATTGTGCTCTTTTTTTATATGCAAAATTCACATTTTTTAAGCTTCTAAAAGTATTCAATTTCTAGTCCTTCATTGAGATCATACAAAAAGTGCTATTTCGCCTGATTCATGCATGTCTGGGTAATCCTTGTGAACTCAGCTTTCTGAGCAGCCTCCCCTCTCCAAAAAAAGTAGGAGGTTAAATGGTGATTACCTTCCCCCTTCATGAGGCACCTACTCTGACTGTGCCACATCTGCAAGTAAAAAACAAACAAAAAACAAGTTTGAACAGATATAATTCTGCTCAAACTTGAGAGAAATTGCCCTTTTTAGCTCCTTAGCTGCATGCTAGAGACTGACATTTTTTCGGGAATCCCACGGGTCACGGGATTGGGACGGTACAGGATTAAACATTAACGGGAGCAGACGGGAGCGGGAGCAAACCAATAGTAACTTCCGCTCTGAGTTTTTCACCCGCGCTCTAAAACAACAAGAATGGGAGCGGTGCAGGAGCGGGAGTCATTCTGAATGGGAGCGGGATGGGAGTGGGAGTAATTTCACCAGGAGTGGGACGGGACAGGATTTAGATTTCTACTCTGGCCCGGGATCAGGACGGGACACCATTTTTTTCTGTGGGAGTGGGACGGGACAGGAGTGAAAATCCACTCCCGTGTCAGTCTCTACTGCACGCCTAATCTGCTCAGTGACAGCAACTGTTCCTTTTGAGGGGTCTTGGACTTTGTTCAGCCTTCCTAAAGAGGAGCCTAATTACCAGAAGTGATGTGACACTGATGATGTAGCCACTTTAGGGTGAGGTCATGTATGGGCAAAGGGAGAAGCCACACCACAGTAAAAGCATGTGTCTTTTTTCTGGGTTAGAAAAATACAACCAGGAAAAAAATAATATTTCATAACAGATTAATTATACTGGGAAAGGTTATACTTCATCATATGCATATGTCTATCATCATATACATGTTTTAGGTCTTTTAGGTTACTTTGGAAGGCTTCAGAGAGCATGATATAGAAGCATTGGTTAGAGTAATGACTGATACATGATGATTATCTTATGTTATGACTCTGGGTTGTCATTTCGGGCATTCAGTTCAGTTGTTCCAGAAGATTTTATAAAACACTACTCTTTTCTTTATTCAGGCTGTTCATTGAATGAAGTTAATTTCTCTGATAAACTTTCAAGAAATAGAAAATCAAAAATTTTTCTTATTAAAATTTTCCTGTGTTACTGTTTGTGTAACTGTTTGGGTTCTGACCCCAGCCGATGGCCAAGTAAATGTGGAAGTATTTCTTTTCGCTGAAAACAGTGATGACAAGCAGGCTGTGCAGGTAGATGCCTTCCACCAGCAGCCAGTAGTTGTTGGCCATTACGCTGTACTGCATCATCACCACGGCACCTCTGCACCACATCACAGCCTAAAATAAAGCAGAATCATAAGTTATTTAGAAGCAGAGTATATCTACCGTATTAGCTATAGTCCTAAACTTTGTAGCATCATGAATAAATATTCAAAACGGCCACATAAATCAGTGACAATTTTCTCTTTCACGTTGGACAGACGTCGACTTTTCAAGTTCAGAATACATTATTTGTTAAGATGCATGTCCTCTTTCGTTTTTCAAACGCCCTATGTTGTGTTTCCCTATTGCCTGAAAAATATGCATTGCGTATAAACAGTGAATCTGCGTAGAATGTACACCCCTAATCTCTTCAGGGAAGTGGTTCTAAAAGTGGGGACACACCCTTTAGCCTTATGACCCTTTAGCCTTGCCTTTTTGGCAAGGATGTTGAGGTACTATAAGTGGTGACATCACAGGTGGTTGGTTTCGCTCTGTAGCTTCCAGTTGAATAGACTGGTAATACCCATGATACCTCAAAATTATAACACCCTTAAGAAATTTGGCATGATGAAAGACGAAGCTGAAAGGACACTCAAGGGTCTTAATCACATTGCTTAGGCTTCAGAGCTCATTCGGTGTGTGTCTCAAGCTGCAGGAGGGAGAAAAAAGGGGGCTGTGGAGCCTGACTATCCGGGCTTGCCGATGATCTGCTCTACCTTAGGAAACGCGGAGACTGATATTACGTCACAGGTTGCAGGTAGAAGTAGCTATCTGGACACTCAATGGTTGTAAAATCTGACACCGGTTCATGTGTTTGGGGCGAGGCGGGTTGGCAATGCTACCTTTTGTAGCTGCTGTTCACCAATGCCAATAGTGAGAGAGTCTATCTGCTGTCGGGAGGCTGACCTGGATCACATACTGTGCAGTGAGTTGTGCATTACCAATGTTCTGACCTTTAGATCTCTGTGGATCTAAGAGATGGAGGTTGCCACGCTGCCACTGAAGGACCTCTGAGAGGAAACATTGGAGCAACCGGTAAACTTATTTCAAATATAAATAGGATGGTGAGGGAGACGAGTCCTGGGTATCCGGCGGGTGTCCATATAAAACTTACACCTCTGGGTAGAAAAAAACCCAGTATTATTTAACAGGTGGGTATATATGAACAAAATGGGGGTATCATAGAGTTACAGCATGAATTAAACTTATTTATATTTTCTAATTGATTAACTGTTCATCTTAAAAAAAATGTATTGATTCAAGAATATCCAGATAACAGTATTTTTTAAGCAACGTGGCAAACCTTCTTACATTGGCCAATTAACAGTTGATAATGTTTGAGCACAGCACGCACTGGATGTGACTAGGATGTGTCAAGACTAGGTTTTTTTATTTAAGTTTACATTATTATGTGTAAATTAAGTTATTTCTGTTCATAGTTTCATTTCCACATTAAGCAACAAACAAATTCAAAGCAGGTGACCTTTATCCTGTTGTTGGTATTTTGTTGTTTTGGTTACATAATGCTCAGATTTTATGTTGGTTGATTCCAAACAAACCAAACAAAAAAAAGCTAATCAAACAAAAGGCATTTAAGACCAAAGGAAGAAAAACCGTGGTTTCTTCTTTTAAACATGAGGAAAGAACTTAAGAAAAAGAGAAGGGTTAATGAACAGATCGTTGTTGATTTGCAACCCTAATTGATGTGATATGTACAGACATATAATCAATACCTAATCGGCCTCTTATTTGGCCACAAGCACTCTTGGATGGCTGCAGAATTTTAAAACATGGAGCAGGTAGAAATGATTACTATGAGGTGCCCCCAGGGACATAAATCAGAATTAACTTGCATATACACATATTAAATTACACTCTTCCATATAATATACTGAAAACCTCACACAAACACTAGTAAAAAGCTCTCACATAAACTAGTGAAAACATTTACCTCTTATATAATCTACTCAAAAGCTCTCATACAAAGTAGTAAGAACTGTTCATATAAACTGGTGAAAAGCTTTACCTTTCATACACACTACTAGAAAGCTTTCATATACACTATTAAAAAGCTCTCATATACACTACTAGAATGCTCTCATATACACTACTAGAACACTCTCATATACACTACTAGAACGCTCTCATATACACTATTAGAAAGCTCTCATATACACTACAAGAAAGCTCTCATATACACTGCTAGAATGCTCTCATATACACTATTAGAACGCTCTCATATACACTATTAGAAAGCTCTCATATACACTATTAGAACGCTCTCATATACACTATTAGAAAGCTCTCATATACACTACAAGAAAGCTCTCATATACACTACTAGAACGCTCTCATATACACTACTAGAACACTCTCATATACACTACTAGAACGCTCTCATATACACTATTAGAAAGCTCTCATATACACTACAAGAAAGCTCTCATATACACTGCTAGAATGCTCTCATATACACTATTAGAACGCTCTCATATACACTATTAGAAAGCTCTCATATACACTATTAGAACGCTCTCATATACACTATTAGAAAGCTCTCATATACACTATTAGAACGCTCTCATATACACTATTAGAAAGCTCTCATATACACTACTAGAACGCTCTCATATACACTACTAGAAAGCTCTCATACACACTACTAGAACGCTCTCATATACACTACTAGAAAGCTCTCAAACACACTATTAGAAAGCTAAAATATATGGTCCCCCTCCTTTAATTTAGGCAAACATTGCTCAAATATCACCGAATCCAGATTGTTTGTTGTTGATGAAGAGAGGAATAAACACAGTTTAAGATTTGCAGCTAAATTAATTTGTTTCCATATTATGGAACTGCTATCAGGCACTTCCCATCATCTTATATCAGTAATAAAAAATTATAAATACAAATTTGGTATTTGGTGACTTGACTTTTATTTCTGTCAGGCTGAAGTGAAAAAACTTGGAAAGAGACTGATTCTCTTGGCGTTTAAAATAACAACACAAAACAGCATAAGAAAACCGCATTTATTTTTTTTATTTTACAATTTTGTAAACAACAGCGGCTGATTAAACTAAATGTCTCAACCTTGTATAATTTTACGACTTTTTTTTTAACCAAGAAATGATCCGAAAGGCCTGGGAAATGATCAGATCCGCTTATCTGGCTGCAATGCGGGGCGCGCTCCCGACACAGGTGGAACAGATTTTCACATGGGAACAGAATTTCGCACAACACCGGAAAAGGATCTCTGTTGAAGCAAAAACATAAAAAATAAAGTCGAGTAATGCCCATGCTTCTGTGAGTTGTTTAGCGGATAGCTGAGCATGAATCAATAATTTTATTTGATACAATTTTGGCCGGAGATAGCACAAAATGTACGGAGCTAGCCAGAATGACCTCCGTTTAAAACAACTTCCGGTGTAATGACGGTCCTTCCTGTTTCACTGAAACACCTCCTGTTTCAACTGAAATCCGCTAATAGCTTTTCAGTAGTATGTATGAAAGCTTTCTAGTAGTGTATATGAGAGCGTTCTAGTAGTGTGTATGAGAGCGTTCTAGTTGTGTATATGAGAGCGTTCTAGTAGTGTGTATGAGAGCTTTCTACTAGCGTGTATGAGAGCGTTCTAGTAGTGTATATGAGAGCTTTCTAATAGTGTATATGAGAGCGTTCTAATAGTGTATATGAGGGCTTTCTAATAGTGTATATGAGAGCGTTCTAATAGTGTATATGAGAGCTTTCTAATAGTGTATATGAGAGCGTTCTAATAGTGTATATGAGAGCGTTCTAGCAGTATATATGAGAGCTTTCTTGTAGTGTATATGAGAGCTTTCTAATAGTGTATATGAGAGCGTTCTAGTAGTGTATATGACAGCGTTCTAGTAGTGTATATGAGAGCGTTCTAGTAGTGTATATGAGAGCTTTTTAATAGTGTATATGAAAGCTTTCTAGTAGTGTGTATGAAAGGTAAAGCTTTTCACCAGTTTATATGAACAGTTCTCACTACTTTGTATGAGAGCTTTTGAGTAGATTATATAAGAGGTAAATATTTTCACTAGTTTATGTGAGAGCTTTTTACTAGTGTTTGTGTGAGGTTTTCAGTATATTATATGGAAGAGTGTAATTTAATATGTGTATATGCAAGTTAATTCTGATTTATGTCCCTGGGGGCACCTCATAGATCACCATCATAAGGTCGGTATAATAAGGTAAAATAGGAAATTTCAAGTGCAGTGGATCATTAACACAGGATTTAAATACCGACATACTGCGAACTGGAGGCTTTTCACTGTCAAAATTAATCCATGTTTTTCATCAAGGTGTCAAAACAAATAGGCATTATTTGACAAATACTAAATAAAATGGGGATCTAAAGACAATACAAAAATGTAACAGTTTATGAGCTTTATGCAGTGTAGATGTTCTTACTGGTATGTTGACCCAGGCCTGTGTATCAGCATCGCTGCCCCTTGGGTTAAGCGTGAGAATCAGGAGAGCATCTTTGACCAGAATGGAAGCAGCTCTCAGGATGAACGAAGCAAACAAGTTCATGTGGATATTGTTCCTCATGCAGTGAAGCTTCCTAATGAAGAGTTTGTAGTGTTATATTCTGTATATGGATGTTTTCATTTGTCACATTTCAATTAGAGTTTCTTGTCAGTCTCCTTCCTTCAAACCTTGCCTGTCATTCTTTTAGTCATCTTTTTTTTTTTTTTTTTGGTATTTCTGGGCTACTCTAAAACTGTTCCCTCCTTGGCAATTTTCTGCTTTTGGATGTTTACAATGTAATACTTAACAAAGATAATCTTAACAAATAAAAAAAAATATCTCTTTTAAAATAAAGATTTACTTTAATTAGGGGACATAACTGTGTAGTTCAGTTTTACGTGTATTTTTCACTTTCCACACCTAGGTTTGATTACCTTTAAGATTTATCTTATATTTACCAAAAACATATTAATGGGTTCTAAAGATTGTTGAAAAATATTCTGTGCACAGGGGAAACACATTTTTGGGAAATAGTTTGTTAAATATGGACATTTCATATCACTGCAGAATAATAGAAGACAGATAGTTGAACATAAAGTGTGGTGCTGCTTTGCTCTCTCAAGACCCGAGGATGTTACTATTGTTGATATAAGGTTGAATTGTGTTCTGTAGCAGAACATATGTGGTATCAGTGTTTGAACTCTAGCTCAGGCACGATTCATTTTATTGGCAGGACAAAGGTACAGAGCCCACCAGCAAGTCCACTACTATATGGCTCATGAGAAAATCAAAGCTTTTAAATGGTGTTTTCCTAAAAGTGATATTGGCTTAAAAATCCTTAATTAAGTAATCTGATAAGAGAGGGCTAAACGACTTTGCTAGCTGTCACAAATACTTGTCAGTAGCTAGTGCTGGCAGACATGGGATGACATGACCACATCTTATTTGTAAAAGACATTTACATTTTTGCATAAACCACCAAGTTGGCTTAGGAAGCTATTCTATCTTGGATAAATGTTCTTTTTCACTCATTATCAAAAGATTCTGTGAATTTTGGGAAAATTACTCTTTGCTAATGCTCTCTCTTGCATTTTTATATCGTCATCATTTTCAATGCCCAGATTATGTCAATATTTCTTTAATAAAATGTTTTTTTTATTTCCCCAGCTTTTTTACCTGGATACTCTATTTCCAGTTTCTGGTTTTAGATATTGATTTTCTCTCTTCACTTCATCCCTCTGCCTATCTCTTTATGTTCTATCAATAATGTTACCTGAAGCTGATGAGGATCCCCAGGGCCAGGAGCAGGGCTCCAAGTGAAAGTGAATAGCCCACTGTGTACACGATACGCAGCTTGCTGAGAATGCGACCATACTGGTTCTGCAAACACGAATGAAAGACAAAGAACGTTACGTCTATAGTGTTCATTCTCACCAGACACGAAAACATAGTTTGGTGCAAACTGTAGAAAAAGGTGCTGTATGAACAGATGAGAAGATTTCATATGCTGTCAGAAAATGATTTCAGAAAGTCAAAGAGTTCCCTGAGCATCTATGCAAGAAAGAAGCTATGACCATCTTAATAACTACAGTAAATGTCCACAGATTTCACACACCTCACCAGAATCGTCCTCACATTCAGTGGTGTTCTTTTGTCCCCATTTACCGTCTTCATGGCAGATCCTGTAGACCAGACCCCGCTGAACTGTTTACAAAGATAAATGATACATCAAACGAGGGCGGGATTTATTCCAAACTCTGAACAATTTAGACAGAAATAAAGAAAATAACTAAATAGTTCAGCAATACAAGAAAATATCTCTGAATTGTGTGGGAACGTATCTAGGAGAACTCCATATTGTGTTCAGCTGCTGAAATAGCAAAATACTATTTTATTTTCTCATTAATAGAATCATCAGTAATAACAAGGAGCTTTTTCAAACATTTCAGATTGCTCAGAAGAAGGTGAAATAGCGGCACAAACTTAGCCTTTAAATAGCCAGTATGCTGTGCCTTTGTACAGAGCTTTAAAAAAAAAAAAAAAAAAACGTCAATATTTTCTCTGTGGTGTCACCATTTCTCTTTGTAACCTCACACAGAAAATGTAACACAAGAATGGCTTCTTCTCCTACTTAAAAATATGGGACTCAAAAACAGATAACTCTAATATTCAACAAGCCCCTTTATATCCAGCACAACTAATTTTTGATCAGACTAATTTCAACAGATTTAATCACTTTTATAAGCTCGCTTTGCTATTTCTATATGATTCTATATAAAAACACTAATAAAGACGGGAAGGATTTATCAAATATATCTATTATTAGGTCTCATACTACAAAACATATATGATCTGTGGGATATAAAATGATTCTCGACAGATAGAGCTGAAATGTTTTACCCTTAGGATCAGATTGAAGATCTTTATATCCGTTTAACAGAAATCTCAAAAAAGGATGATTAAAATGCCAGAAATTGATAAACATACGGTTGCCCATCATAATCATGCCTATAGTTTTCGGACACAAATTGATGTAGAATATTTAGATAATATCAATAATCTTTTTTTTCTTAGCACCACTACGAAGTTGACCTAAAAGCATCTATAGGGTTTGCAATACATAATCTGTCTGACACAGAAGACAAATGATCTGCACAATAATCTATATCACAATCTGAATTATTAGAAAGTTCAAACAAAACAGATTAGATCGCCATGTTATAGTTTTAAAAATAATACAATCTCTGCTGTTTTATATTATTAGCTTTTAAATCACAGACCAGCTGTAAAATGCCTAGGTCACAACAATTATATCTACCTGTGAGAAATCACCTTACTTTGACCTGCAAGAACTGAATCATTGTCAAACAAATCTTTATCTGAAGATGCTTTAGTCGTACACTGATATGATCATTAATCTTAAGAGGTTCTTTCTGTTATCTTTCAGTTATACCTTTAAGTAATATAAACCTGAAGGTTACTCCCTCAATTCGAATAGGAGATTGCGTCCATCGCCCACTGAAGTCCTTCATATAGCCTTTTTAAAAGTATGACTGTGAGAAGTCCAATTCCTTATCATTTGTGAAAGGCCTAAAAATATCTAACCTTCAGAGTTTAAACTAATAGACCTCACTTAATGTATCTCTCATCCAACAAATTGCAGCTTTCATGTTATGCATTCTTTTCTCTAATGCATTCTTTTCTTTCATTTAATGAAATCGCAAGGACTCACAAAGCATTCAGTTTTTTTCATCACAAATATTTTCCATTCAATCCATAGGATCAACAACACTGAATGAGCACCATATCCTTGATCGGATTTTCAGAGAAATTGAAAGCTCTTGCAAGATACCACAGAAAAGCCTCTTTAGAAATTTGGAAAAACTGCTGGTATAATACTATCCTATTTGTATGAAACCTAACTTTAAAGACTGGCAAAATTTAATTTCTGTTGTGAGCAGAAAAAGACTTTAGTGGATTGGAAAAATCCCACTATTGCACTAAAATGGGCCTGTAACTCTTTCCCTTGATGAGTGTTTGTGTAAATCCTGATCTTACTGAACAGTTCAGAACAGCTCTTACTGTGCAGTTGATGTTATACATAGTATTTAAAAAGTACTTTTTGAAAAAAGTTGCTTTGTTCCTTTTTTATGTGTGTAACCTCCATTTATCCAGGTCGACCTCACTGATATTCAAAATCTGTTGATCATCTGCAGACAAAAAATAGATGAACGATACAATTTCTACTGTAGCTTAATGAATGCATTTAACTTTGGTATAAAAGTAAACACTAATATGCTTGACTCACTATAAATATAAAGCATTATGATTATACAGGATCATACAAGTTTGTTTCTGGAATATTGTAATCACTATTTAGTTCCATTGCAAATATTTTTATTTTTGTTAAACAGTATTTTTCAGCCTAATAGTACTTTAATTGCTAGCCGAAGTCTGTCAACGTGCAAATATATTAAGCGCCTAATCTAAAACACCTGACTTACTTTCTAATTCTTTTATTATAAACAAAAGACATTCAAATCTATATTATTATATTGCAACTCACCTGTTCAATCACACACAGCTAAGTTTTACAAGTAAAGTTCCAGTCTGTTTCAAAATGACGCCTGGGTAGAAATTCAGCTGAATAAACTGGATCACATACCATCATGCAATCAAAGGCTCATTGGTCTGTGAAGCAGCAACCTAACATTAAACCCCATCTGCTCATAATCAAATCAGGATCAGAGTTCTGCTTAAAAGACTTTAATCAACATCTCAACCTGCCACCAACAAGCATCTGAGTTGAATTGCATGTCAGACCTTGATTCTTATGACCCTGATTCAATCCTCCCCCATCCCTGAATGCACATCTAGCTCCTTCTCCTTACTTCTGCCTGCCCCTATTGAAGTAATTTCCTGGTTATAGTGCTTTCAGAAGGCATTCCCATCTTCTCTGGCAGAAGACCGCCATGTTGAGTCTGGTTCTGCTCAAGATTTCTTCTAAAGGGGAGTTTTTTTTCCTCCCCACTGTCGTTTTATGCTTGCTCATCACGGAGGTTCATACGAACCTGCGGCTTGACATCTTTCTTCATACAATTTCTGTTCCACCACTGGTCTGGGGCCTGGGGGGCTTCATCCCTGTTCTCATTCAGCAGGTCATTCATATAATCAAAGTAAATTTCAATGTTAATGTACCCCACCGAGGCCTGAGCGCCAAAGTCTTAAAATATTGTTTCAATAAAACTTTTCTAATTGTCTTCATTCTCTCTGTGAGTTTATTTATTTCAATTTTTTTTATTGAATTACATAATTTAACACACACACATTGTCTTAGGTTGTTTTTTTTTGTTGTTGTAACTTTCCCAGGGATTATTATTTATTTTGGATGGTCTCTGACAACTCTTTTTAGAAAATATCTTCGGGTCCCAATGGTGAAGTGGTTTCAGTCTGACTGAATTGCGGGGGAACTGAATAAGGAGGGGAATCTGTAAGCAAGTCACCGCCTTGTTGTCGTAACCTCTAATTATGGGAGAATCCGACAGGACACAAAGACCATCTTCTGGTTTGTTGCTGTGATCCTGTCTCATTTTAATTTTCCAGAATATTTTTTTTTCCTTTTTGAGTATGTTTTTTATTTGTTTCAAAATTAATTTTTTTGATAGAAACACACTGTACATAAGGAAAACTCATTAATGCTGAACATGCAAGAAAGAAATTCAGGAAGGGATTAGAGTGTTTACATCAAACAGTAATATAAATTATTGGGTATTACATGATAATCTCCAGTTGGAGGTTCAGTCTTATTTTAGAATTTTCTAAAAGAAGAACAGTGACATTAGTAAGAGTTTTTCAAATTGATAGGAGAATCCTTTTGCTGCAAATAGGATTTTGTGTGGTACTATTATCTCACACTGCAATTTGTTGAATGATTTTTGTTTATGTAGTAGAAAGGGGGAAGGAAAAAAAAGATTTCTACCAAATCATATGCATCATTGTTAGTGGAATCTATACAAATTATGCTTTATAGAACAAATGTGCCTTTCAGCAGTTGAAAGTTTTTCCACAACTAATGCACACAGATGTGTTTATAAGAATACCATTTTCTCTGGCTATAATTTGCATGAACAATATCAATTGTAAGTTAAGATTTTGCCAAATAAGCAGTATGCTCAATTCTTCCTTTGAACATATATATCTTTAATCCTTGAACATGCGTAATCGTGGCGGGGGGCATATTTACATTGGTTTATGAGCATAAAAACCAGGCTCTTTGGCAAACACAGAAAATAGGAAAGATAAGAGAACATACAATTGAACAAAGTACTGTTGGCCTTCATTTGCCAGGAAACGGCCATTACAAATACAACTGGAACAAATAAGGCTATATAAAGTTCATTTTTCCTCCCAGCACTCTAAGGCAAGGGTTTTAAAAAGGCAAACAACTACAGCAATTTATTCTTGTTATATTATGCATCTTTACTGAAATGTTTGGTGTAAATCAATCACCTCATTAATTTTTATTAGCAGGTGTTATGATAGACCATCACTGAAAACCCATACTGACCTTTACGATACCATGGCAGGAACCATGGGCATGAGACATTGACAGTGGTACCAGGAAATCCATCAGGCCAGCAAGCATAAAAATCAAAGCTTCTATTACACACCAACCCTGTAACATGCACAAAATAGCAGAAATATTTGCTGGGTGGTTATGTTGTTCAGACATTTAGTTTCGCTGAATGTAGGCCATTGATTAACCTGTGGCAGGGGGCGTGGAATTGATAATGTCCAAACACTGGTTCTTGTAGCTGCTCCACTTCTCTTTCACAAGCTCCAGAGAGTTAGCAAAGGACTCCTGCAAAGGAAAGGCTCTGTAAGGCGCTGTGCTAAATTCCAGCAACACCACAACAGGCTTTTTCTTTCTTTATTTGGTGTCTCAGTTTCACTAAGAGGTACTCAAGAATGAGTGGATTAGGCAGAGGATTAAAGTTGTGTTTAATTATATGTGTGAAAGAGAGGGAAAATATTAGTAACACCTTACCTCAGTGCAGCTGGAGAGCGTAAGTAGGGCCAAGAGGAGACACACCTGGGACATCCCACCGATGCTGGGGAGATGGGTGTCGGTGGGGACCAGAACACAGAGGAATCCCAACACATGAGGCAGTCTCGGCCCTATTTCACCCCACGACCTATACACAGAACATGGAAAGACTATATGCAGGTGTTGTGGTGGTGCTTCGAGATAGACTAAACAGATAACATACTGTACTTAAGGGTCTTGCTCAGAGTGGCAGGCTGTGGGAGTGGGGCTCATACTCAGAACCTCAGGATTCCAAGCTCTATACCACCAGGCCGCCACTCCCTAGGGAAGCATAAAGTCTTCAAACTTGTGAAACAAGTCCAGTGGTTTGATTTTTAACTTTTATTTTATTGCTTTATATAAAAAACAAATACGCTATATTGGAGACCAGGGAACACAGCACATCGTTCAGTGATTAGGTTATAAAACAACATTGTAAACTTTTAACTTTCCCTTGTAAATATTTAGGTCTATTATCTAAAAACAGAGAGCGTAACGCTCATCTGGAAATCATCCATCCAACCAAAGAGACAAGTAAGACTTTTATGATAGATTGATAAGAAGAAAGACATTAGACATTGATAAGAAGAAAGACATTTAGAAAACAAATCTAGAAGAGTGTGCTCTAATCAAGGGATCCTAGGTTATTAGATAAGCGACCTAGTCTCATTTCTTAATTGGTCCACATACGTAGTACAACACTTTTGCAAAGTGCTATACTAAAACCATGTATACATTAAGTGCTTCTTTCCCAGCTTGGATCTTCATCATCCATATGGCCGATGTTGGAGAACAAAACGAAATCTGAAACGTTTCTGCAAAAAACACTTTGACCAAGGTAACATTTTTGGCTAAAACGTTTCAAATTCCATTCTGTTCCAGTCCACTTTCCTTCAGACACAGAGGATATTGTTGAGTCTCGGCGTCTTACAAACAATCTGAAACAGAACATCAGTAGCCTATCATGCCAAAAATATTAAGACATTTATTTAAAATCAAAAGGCTGCATAACATGAAACAATACGACTTTTTGAATTTTCCATACAGTAATGTAAAAGATTTCACTTCTTGTGATTCTATGGTGGTAATCCTCTTTTTATGTGACCACACTAGATTTGTTTGAAGTAAGCTGGAAACAGGCAGAGTGAGAACACAAAATCGAAGGGTTGCTTCATAAATATACAGAAAAATGTATTTTGTATTTTTTTTATTGAATAGCAAATTTATATCTTTGGTCATTTCATGTTTCCGTAATGATTAAGCCTTAATTTGTTTCTATCCAGAATTCCTAAAAAAAATTAACCCGAAGCACTTCATCCATATAAAATCCACCACAGGATTACTTCCCCTGATTTTTAGAACTTTACATTCTGAACAAGGAGGGTTAGGGAAGATTAAAAAAGATAAGCCTCAAATTATGACCGTTTGAAAGGCAAACTAAACACCATTGGTTTTGCTCTTTTTATAGATTTGTCGACAATAGACAAAGAAATAATAATCTGTTTTTATCCTATAAGCTGCTGCAGTTGAGAATATGAGCAACAATGCCTCCCATAACCCCCATCCCCTTTGCCGATCGCGTTCCCAATCTGGATTGCACACTTTATGACTGAAAAATAGCACAAAAAAAACAGCAATTGTTACTTGTGTAATTAGTTGAAATAGAGGAGACTATCAGAAATATTTTGTAACCTCCATTTTTGACAAGCCTTTTCCATATTAGGATTTAAACCTCTCATTTAAAGTAGATCTCTAAGTGTTTTTGAAACATTTGAACAAAATAACTGTGAAAAAGTGTTTCAATACTTTAATAATGTGGATACAGAACTGTTGTTTGTATAAGCAGAGGTGTGTAGAGTACCCAAAAATTGCACACAAGTAAAAATAACAATATTTTGTCATATTTTTAATAAATTACTAGTAAAAAGTAGCCAAAGGAATGACCAAGCCAATAAATAATGTAATTAAAATAATAAATATTCCACACAGAAAAAAAAAACACTTTTCCAAACCAAAATGTATTCTACTGTACCATGATAAAATTAAATACTGCATATTAGATTTACATCCTACTATCATGATGGGTTCAATTAAGCTTGTGTGCAAAAAAGAGCACTCATTTTGACATAAATATCAAATGTTTTTCTGTTTTTGCAGCCTTGTTCTAACAACCTTGTTTGTTAACATTTGGCTAAAGTTAAGGTAGTGATATTTTGTCAAGATACTCCTTAAGTAAAAAAAAAAATATATGGTGCACTGAAATTACACAAGTAACTCCTACAAGCCTATTTTTGTCAAAAAAGTTACTAAAATAACAGATACTGGGGAAATCTAAATAGTTACTACCCTGAATATAAGATATACAGATAAGGTCGAGAACTCATTAATTTTCACAGTATTTGAAAGGGATATTATTTTCAACTACAAACTTACACTTTATTCAGAGCTGTGCATATTTATCCAGAAATTATAAATTAAAAATGGAAAGTAAATAAAGTTTTTATATGCTTTTTTGATAGACTTGTTCACTTTAGGTTCATTGTGTAAGATTATATATCAAGATGAAGATTATATATTAGGGATAAACTTATGGTTTGTAACATGCTTATTGGATTCAGATCCTCTCGCAGAGTGAGCACTGAAGATACTGTAGGGGGAAGAACTCTTACAAATAAGCAGATATATATACAATTGATAGATAGATTATAATGTCTAAATTCAATATCTCAATATTATTAAAGTTAACCAAGGTCGTTAAATATACAGAATGTTCAAATGTGTTGTACTTTGCCTTTTTAGCAGATTCACATTCAATTCCTGAAGTTCAGTTTATTCAGTGCCAATTCACTGTCATTGCAAGGCAGTGACAATTTAGTCAGAAAACACAATCAGTTTGGTAAAGAGTTTTCTATCTATCTAAGGAAAACCAGTTGACTGCATCCATACACTAACTTGCAGGACAGCTTCTCCTGGATCAGCATGTGGCTACAATAGCTAATTGCTGCCATTTTGTTGTTGACTCAACAGAAACCTCTCACATCGAGCATGCATGTGGCAAGTGGAGAAGAAAAGCGTCGTTTTAGCAGGAAGAAACTTTTAGCAGAACCAGTCTCAGTGTGAGCAGCCTTCTGCCGAGGCTGACTAGAAGAAGCAGACATACTGTACAAGAGGAACATAGAAGCACTAAATGCTATATAATGCTGTAGTTTAACGCATTCAAGTATTTTTCCTTAAACCACTTGATACTATAGCAGTATAGTTTGCCTTGCACGTGTTACTTTAGCAGGCAAACCTCCATTCAAATTTCAAGTCTTTGAAAAACTAAGCAAATGTCAAGTTGCTGAAAAGCACAGTTAACCTCAAGAAACACCTAGCGAGAGTGCATAGCAACCTTAAGCTAGAGGTTAAATGACCTCTTATCAGCAAGAGGTCAGAGGATGATGGCGGAAGCAAATCTAAACAATGAAAGTTGGATTTTTCCAGATCTGCCTCTTTCTACTACTCTTTTTTTTTTTTTTACCCTGACACCCAGGGGGCTCCGTATTCTACAGCTGAGTCGCTGGGATTTCGAAACGTCATGAAAAAAATCCCTGTTTGACCAAATGACAAGTGTAGCTTTGCAAAAGTATAAACAGGCTTCCACAGATAGATCTTTTAACGAAATTTATATACAAGTCTTTAAAAAAAAAATGTTTTTTAGCCTTTAAGTAGTTGCCAAACAAAGGTGTCATGTTGGGTTAAGTTTTTTTTGTTTCATTATTCTATATCATATTTTTCATTCAGCTACTCATGACAAAAAATTGCAAACCTTCATTTTGCAAACCTTTGTCCTAATTTTTTATTTGCCAAAAGTAACTAAAAAGTAATCAGTAGTCAGTAAGTCAAGACCCTTAACCCCAGACTGCACCCTGGGTGCCGCACAATGGCAGCCCACTGCTTCCCAAAGGGAAAATGTAGAATTTCCCCAATGTGGGACAATAGAGGGATTTATATTTACATTTACCTTTTTACTTTATAAATATTGTAATATTACAAACAAACATATTACTTACATATAGAATATATTACATCTTGGTAGTATCTTTCCCAAACAGTGTTAATAAACCAGTCATTAGTGGCTTACAGCCTTTGGATTGCCCCTTTATATAAACCCACAGATGTTTAATTTTTCATAACCAGGTTTTAATCAGTATGTAATTAACTTCATGTTGTTCTTTGTTATATGGGTGTATATTGCATGTATATGATTTGAATGCACTGAGCCCCTGGTGTTGTGATTTATACTGTTTGTTTAATTCTATTTAGTCTAATAAAGAAATGGATAACAGCAGGGCAAAGATATAAGTCACTAACAAAAGTAGCATCAAAACACTGTAATTATTAACGAACCTTTGTTCATGCAATGCTGAAATGAAATATGCTTATAAATATGTTATAATATAAATACGTATAAGTATATAGGTACATTTCACCCCAAATTCTAGATATTACAGTTAAAATTACTTATCTTAACAATCTTATTAATACATAGAGGTGTCTGTAAAAATACATTGGATTTGGACACATTAGTCTACATAAGAAGGTTAATGTGAGCATGTGGATTAGTGCTCAAACAATTAATCGGAATTATTAAAATGATCGACAGCTAATTTAGTAATCGATTAATTTTTAATTGGAGTACAGAGACTCTAAAATGTGTCTTTAGCAGACAGAACAACCCACTTGGAGGGTTAGGGTTAGGCTATCAGTGTTCCAGTACACCAGGGGTGCTCGAGTCCAGTCCCTAAAGAGCTAATATCCTGCAACTTTTTGATGCACACCATTTTTAACACATCTGAATCAAATGAGTGGCTCATTACCATGCCTCTGTTGGGCTAAATGAGGGGATTGAGCCTTTCATTTCAGATGCGCTAGAGAAGAGATGCATCTAAAAGTTACAGGATGGTAGCTCTTGAGGACTGGACTTGAGCACCCCTGCAGTACACTAACCATGCCAGGACCAGAGTGTCTATTTTATCAAACCAAATCCTGCAGCAAAGGATAGCACGTAATTGTCCCTAACTTTATCGACTGAACAGGCAGGATTCACATAATGCATTAACCCCCCCC